GTCAGACTCGAGTCATGAATTTGATGACTTCAGACTCGACTTGGACTTGCATAACAATGACTTTGTCCCACCTCTGAGGTGTGGACTCGAGTCATGTGACTTGGACTCGAGTCAGACTCGAGTCATGAATTTGATGACTTCAGACTCGACTTGGACTTGCATAACAATGACTTTGTCCCACCTCTGGTAACCACTACCTGGGATGTGCAGAGGCCAACGAGCGCAGCACATAAATGATGCCGTACGGCCATGAGCTTCATAGCACGCTCAAAGAATCCCCCAAAGTCCACACAGTACGAGGTTCTGCTGGTTGGCACCCAGGCTCAGGGGAAAAAAATTGTGGGAAGATCAGGTGCGGCAGTTGTAGACTCCAGGATTCAGTTTTGTACTCATCTAAAAAGTTTCAGCACCATACTCGACCAGCATATGTTGCGTGATTACCACGTGCAAAATATAGCCAGCTCTTGCCATTTTCATATTAGTGCTCTACAATACATTCAACAACTATTGATTCGTGACATACAGTAGGGAAAAAAGTATTTGATCCCCTGCTGATTTTGTACGTTTGCCCACTGACAAAGAAATTATCAGTCTATAATTTTCATGGTAGGTTTATTTGAACAGTGAGAGACAGAATAACAACAACAACAACAAAATCCAGAAAAACGCATGTCAAAAATGTTATAAATTGATTTGCATTTTAATGAGGGAAATAAGTATTTGACCCCCTCTGAATCAGAAAGACTTCTGGCTCCCAGGTGTCTTTTATACAGGTAACGAGCTGAGATTAGGAGCACACTCTTAAAGGGAGTGCTCCTAATCTCAGCTTGTTACCTGTATAAAAGACACCTGTTCACAGAAGCAATTAATCAATCAGATTCCAAATTCTCCACCATGGCCAAGACCAAAGAGCTCTCCAAGGATGTCAGGGACAAGATTGTAGATCTACACAAGGCTGGAATGGGCTACAAGACCATCGCCAAGCAGCTTGGTGAGAAGGTGACAACAGTTGGTGTGATTATTCACAAATGGAAGAAACACAAAAGAACTGGCAATCTTCCTCGGCCTGGGGCTCCATGCAAGATCTCACCTCGTGGAGTTGCAATGATCATGAGAACGGTGAGGAATCAGCCCAGAACTACACGGGAGGATCTTGTCAATGATCTCAAGGCAGCTTGGACCATAGTCACCAAGAAAACAGTTGGTAACACACTACGCCGTGAAGGACTGAAATCCTGCAGCGCCCGCCCGCAAGGTCCCCCTGCTCAAGAAAGCACATATACATGCCTGTCTGAAGTTGCCAATGAACATCTGAATGATTCAGAGGACAACTGGGTGAAAGTGTTGTGGTCAGATGAGACCAAAATGGAGCTCTTTGGCATCAACTCAGGTCGCCGTGTTTGGAGGAGGAAGAATGCTGCTTATGGCCCCAAGAACACCATCCCCACCGTCAAACATGGAGGTGGAAACATTATGCGTTGGGGGTGTTTTTCTGCTAAGAGGACAGGACAACTTCACCGCATCAAAGGGACGATGGACGGGGCCATGTACCGTCAAATCTTGGGTGAGAACCTCCTTCCCTCAGCCAGGGCATTGAAAATGGGTCGTGGATGGGTATTCCAGCATGGCAATGACCCAAAACACACGGCCAAGGCAACAAAGGAGTGGCCTAGCCAGTCTCCAGACCTTAATCCCACAGAAAATCTGTGGAGGGAGCTGAAGGTTCGAGTTGCCAAACGTCAGCCTCGAAACCTTAATGACTTGGAGAAGATCTGCAAAGAGGAGTGGGACAAAATCACTCCTGAGATGTATGCAAACCTGGTGGCCAACTACAAGAAACGTCTGACCTCTGTGATTGCCAACAAGGGTTTTGCCACCAAGTACTAAGTCATGTTTTGCAGAGGGGTCAAATACTTATTTCCCTCATTAAAATGCAAATCAATTTATAACATTTTTGACATGCGTTTTTCTGGATTTTGTTGTTGTTATTCTGTCTCTCACTGTTCAAATAAACCTATCATTAAAATTATAGACTGATCATTTATTTGTCAGTGGGCAAACGTACAAAATCAGCAGGGGATCAAATACGTGTTTCCCTCACTGTAACCAACACGGTGGAATGTAGCATAGTATTGACAAGCCTCAATTATTGCAACTCACTACTCTACGGGACGTCTGGCAAACACATTACCATGCTGAAGCATGTACAAAATTATCTGGCACGTGTCATGACGGGTACTGCAAGATCCGACCATGTCCGTTCAGTGCTCGCCGAGCTGCATTTGCTTCCAGTTGCCGAACGAATACATTATCAGGTCGCACTCAATACACAAGCTGCTTGCCACAAGTGAACCCACAATACTTTGCTGATCTCGAAAAGGAACATAAACCATCACAACTTCCGGTCATCCTCGCATCAGCTTTTAGCTATCCATCGAACAAAGACGGTCACCACATCGTACATTTTCAAATGCACTTCTGCGGCTGTCTGGAATCCTCTTTCTTTTGATATTAGGAAGCCACTGGAGCTATGCACTTTTAAATATAGATTACAACTAATTTCTTTAGAACTGCTTTTCATGTTTAACTTGTTGTCCTTTCCCTGCACCTTTGATTAGCACGGTGGCTACCTTATGAAAGAAATTCAACATATCTACGAGTGGGAGTCACCTGGCTGGGCAGAACACTTCTCATATGGTCATAATGTGCAAAATCCTGGCTCTTTCTCTCACAATACAAACATAAATGGAAATGGTGGATTATGACAAATCTAACATTGGTACTGGATTTTCTTAAGCTATTCGTTACGCATGGTTGCACTTGATTTTCTGCACAGTTGCAATTTACATTTCTCAGTCAGTGTTAGCCACTGATGGCGTGACGGGTTTCTTTTTTCATTCTTGTTGCTCCATGCCACCTGCACCGTTCCCGTTCCATTATAATGTGCACTGATGCCTACTTTATTGAGGGCTATATTCGCCCGTAAAATAACGATTGATTGATTGATTGAGAGCAGGCATTTCGAATCGCATTGCTTTTCCAAATAATGTGATGGAAGCATGTTATACACAGGTTCTTGAGAATATTATGCAATTAAGGATCGTAGATTATTTTAAAATATGCAATTTTTCTCAGTCGGTGTTACCCTACATCAGTAAGAAATTCAGAACATCTTGTGAATGTGATTAAAGATATTAAAGATTCGAAGTTTTCGTGACTGCAAGGATCCATGCTCTTTGGTTCTTTCGGTAAAGTCACGTAGCTAAAAATAAAAGTAAAAATAAACAAATTAAATCACGACGTTTCGATTGCAACACAAGCAATCATCATTATTTTTATTTAACTTTTTTTTTAACCTACGTGACTTTACCGAAAGAACCAAAGTGTAAAGATATTAAACTTAACTCTAATAATATTCTGGTGAGCTTTGATGTAATTTCTTTATTTACTAAGGTTCCAGTTAACAAGTCACTTAAATTACTCTACACTAGCAAATAAGACAGGTTTACTCAAATATATTGCAAAACTAGCTGACCATTGTCTAAATAACACTTATTTCTCATGGAGAGGTGATTTCTTTAGACAAAAGGAAGGAGCAGCAATGGGCTCTATTTTACTGCGACAGCGAATCTGGACATGGAAAACTTTTAAGCAAGAGCACTTGCTTCAAGTACATTAAACCATCTATTTATTTTAGATATGTAGATGACACTTTGGTTGTCTGGTTACAAGGTAAAGATACACTTAATTAATTTCTAAATCATCTCAATTCACAAAACCTGCCAATTTAGTTCACCATGGAAATGGAGGTGAATAACAAACTCCCTTTCCTGGATATTTTGCTCGAGCGTCGCCTAAATGGTAAAATAATACATTGTTTACCGAAAGGGAACGCACACTATCTGATTGCAGATTCGCATCATCACCCCGCACAGAAATCCTCTCGCATCAAGAGGCTCATACATCGGGCTAAAACAGTCGTCAGATGGTGAAAAGTCTGAGGAGAGAGATTAAACATGTCAAATAAGCGCTACGATTGAATGGCTGTACAGTAATAATGCTCAAATTAACAGCATTGAATGCCAAACCAAGATCGAACAGCAAGACTGCTGAAAGCGGTCAGGTTATTAAAACAATCAAAATACCATATATCACGGGAGTAACTGCCAAATTAGCTCGAGTTTTGGAAAAGTAAGCTTTGGCATAGTACACAAAATTCAATAACGAGTATCTTGTACTAAATATTAAATTCCTAAGTTATCAACAGTAGGTGTGTATCAGATCAATTGCTTATGTGGCAGATGCTATATTGGACAGACGGGATGTAACATTAGCATAAGACTAAAAGAACACCAAATATAACGTTGAAGTGTTGTGTAAAGCTAATTACTGGCCAAGACTAATTCGAGAATCCAGTGAAACTGAGAGAAATACAAATAATTTTAACCGCTCAGACAGCTTGAGGCTTAGTGCTGCCTGGAAGCGTATTATTAAGTAACACATCTTACAATTACAATTTCCTATAGAGGAAACACATACTAATTCACTGATTACTAATATATTATATAATTACAATACCCCCCCCCCTCCTGATCTCTGCACCTGATTGGGTTCAGTGAGGACGTCGTCTGCTCTATTTAAGACCGGAAGCAGGTGGATTGCTTCACTATTCAGGCAAATCGCCCGATGCTGGATGTAATTACCAGCGAAACGTCGTACTCAAATTATAAATGTTGTGGCTTTACTCTCCAACACACCGGTGAGCTGAAGTAACTAATTGGCGTATTGTTTACGTGACAAACTCCTTACTAATTGGCTGTGTCGGGTGGTGCAGGGTTAAAACACATTTATACTTACCTGATCGAACCCAAAAACCTTTATGACCAAAAACATATTATGAATCATAACAGTTATGGTAGTAATGTAATGAGTAACCCTTGAAACGCAACAGGTGATTGGTTGAATTGCTCATTACAGTTATACGTCCCCCCAGGGCTCACCTTGCAAAGAAAATCTCCAAGCGGCGGACAGGTGAGCGAGCGAGGAGGCTGGGAAAGCGCAGAGTGAGGCACTCCCCGAGCTCGCTGCCCCGAGTGTGCAGTGACTCACGTCGGCTGCTGTAGAGAAATGTTTATCACAAGGAAGGGGAGGAGGGGGAGAGGTGAAAAGGAAGGAGCAGGGAGTTGCGGGTGGGTGAGTGTTGTGCTGTCGGGGTCAGTTATCTTGCCTTGCCACCTTCACTCCCAGTAGCAGCTGGTGCCTGTACTCGGAAAGTATGAGCTAAAAAAATAGTGTGGGGAAAATGGTTGAGTTAACCACACATCTAAGCCAGGGGCGTGGTGCCAATTCTTTCCAAACTCGGATCATGTTGATATTCACGATTGCAAAAGCCAACGAGTTTCTCTCGATGCATTGTATAAAGGACACATACGCCCCTGTTACTTGTGTAGAGCCGTTGTAGCCATTGTAGACGGCCTGATTTAGACTTGCCGCGGGTGGCAAACAAACACAATGGGCGTGGCTACGTCGGTACGCGGAGCAGGTGCTCGCAGCGACGTCCTCGCCGTACGCTGGAATCCCCCACAGCCCCTCCCCTCGGGGGGAGATGGCTATTTAAGGCGGTGAGCCGAAGGGCTCTGGGTCTAGTGTTAAGCTGTAACCAGTGAAGAAAGAAGACCAGCTAGACCGGCCCTAGAACTCCCTGGGATCGCTGTCCTTTTAAGGACCGACCAGGCAAGCCAGCGGCGTGGCCCCCAGAGCCCAGAACCGACGCTCTTCTAAGAGCGGGGTCTGGGTATTCGGGGTGCCGTAACCTAGGTGTAAGCTAGCTGTGAGCTAGGCTGTTGTGTTCCGTAGCTAGACGGGTGAAGGGGCCGATACCCCTTCAGTTACTGTACGCTTCCGAGTTACGTGCTGGTGTTAATAAATAAGTGTGTGCCTCCAACTATGTGTCAAGTCTCCCTGGAACCATACTACACTTGTGTAGAGGTGTTACGGGAGGGCAAACAAACACACCGGGCGTGGTTATGCCCGTACGCGAAGAGATGCTTACATCCACGTCCGCAACATTTAGCCTGGGGGGCTAATACGGCGCTGGGATCCCCCACGGCCCCACCCCTCGGTGGGGGAGTTGCTATATAAGGCGGTGAGCCAGAGGGCTCGGGGTTCAGTGTTCAGCTTAAACCAGCGAAGCAAGAAGACAGGCTAGATAGCCCCTGGGACTCCCCTGGATCGCTGTCCTTCTCAGGACTGACCAGGGCAAGCCAGTGGCGTGGCCCCGAGAGCCCAGAGCCGATGTTCTTCTAAGAGCCGGTCTGGGGACACAGGGTGCCGTAATCCCAGCTTAACCAGAGCTGGGTCAGCTAGCCTCCCCTAGCTCTGAAGTGGACGACCTAGGAGTAGGCTAGCCGGGACAGAGATTGTGGGATTTCCCTGTTAGACGGGTGAAGGGGCCGATACCCCTTCGAGTGTTGTATATCTCGGCCTGTAATATGCAACTGTGGTCAATAAATAAGTGTGCCTCCGACTACGTCGTCCAAGTCTCCTTGAACCTACTACACTTGCACAACAACTCAATAATTATTGTAATCAGCACCGTCGTTGATTTCACCGATTGATCGAGACATTTTTACGTTCGCTCCTGCGTGCATCAACTGCGATATTTACGATCCTCGTTTAGTTTTAAAGACATTTCTCTCCAACTCCTCAGACTGTCTCAGTCACGTCATATTTGTTCACATGTGGTGCACTCAAGTCTCTTTCCTCATCCAGTTCCAGCGAATTAACAACTCGTCATTCAATAAAAACACATCTCTCCCTGTTCACAGCTGCGCTCCTCCCAAGCCATCGTAATCAACGTCCTCCTGTTCCTTGCAATTCAGTTTAAATGTTTAAGGAATCCAAATTGTAGTCGCCGGCGTCATGGCCAATACAAGGAAAAGTGACGAGTTTAAGAAGTTGTATTAACGTCATCACAGTTAAATAAAATGTGTCAATAAATATAAAAGAACAATAAAGATAAATGTGGAAAAAAACATGGGTTCGAATTTTAAAACATTGAAAAATAAAACTAATTAATTAGCGTAGGAGATGATAAGAACACAGACGTTGTGAATGGGGTCTAAAATAAGTAATCTGGTCAACACGCCCAGAATTTTGGAGTCGTCAACCCACGTGACCGCACACGGCTCTCACACCGCACTACTTAAACAAGCAAATAAAAAATTTGACAATCTACAGTTCGATTTCCCTTTTCACATTAAATTCTCAACCTATCACTCTGACCCATTTCAAAAATCAAAAGTTGCACTAAATCTTGTCTTGGTTATTCATAAATAATTCACACGACCTAGTATGTCACGGTTATATGATTCGCAACACTGTATTGTGATTTCTTCATTATCCCACACTCGCAGCTTTGTATAGCACCCATCTCCCTACAATTATTCACACGAGAAGTCATTCTCTGTGAGTGTTCGTAGCAAAAACTATTCCACAGCTTCCACGTGTCGTATGCAGAGGACAAATATATGAAAGCAGCCGCCGTTTTCAGTTTTTGCTGAAAGCCAGATTCTACGTGCGATGTCAAGGCGAGAACCTGGTCACAACAGCTTCGTTGTGGCCTAGAACCTGCCGGCTCAGGTGGTATGGTGGCTTCCAAGAGAGGAGAGTCGAGCTAACAGTATTCAAGCCATCCAGTAGCTGGTAGGCTGTACAAAGAAGAGAGATTGGCCTGTAGCTGTGCGGGTCATCAGCAGGTTTTCCTGGCTTGAGAGCAATGACTTTTGCTTTTCTGCAAAGTCTTGGTTAGTTTAACACGTAGGCTTTCACGACCAATATCATCCATAAGAGAGTTTTTTGGGTTAGATTGCATAAAAATATAAATGTGTCGTTAAAACCCGCCACCACCCGACACAGCCAACTAGTAAATGTTGTGGCTTGGCTCTCCAACACACCGGTGTGCTGTACTAGTGACGAATTAGCATGTTTCTCTTTACGTGACAACCCTTACTAGTTGGCTGTGTTGGGTGGTGGCGGGTTTGAACGACACATTTATATATTTACGCGATCTAACCCAAAAACCTCCTATGAAAGTGTAAAGGAGAGCCGACACAAGTTTGCAGGGGTTTAGTCTTTTAATCCTTTTCTTCCATCCACACCTGTCCCCAGCCGTCCCAATCTCGTTCCCGCCAAAGGCCCCCTCTTCCTGCCCATTCTCCCCTTATATCTACTCGATCACCCCTCCCACTAACCCTCCTATTGGTGGGAATCCTTCCCCTGACACCCCTACATCACCCCCCCCCCCCCCCGGAGAAAAAAAAACGTCCTCGGTTCTGCCTCCCCCAAGGACCATTTAAGTCTCCCCATGCCTCCCACCACTGACAGTGATGACAGCCCTTAACCCCCCCACAACCATACAATGCAATATAACACAACAAAATCAATTGCGCGGCCTGCCCAGGTCTCCAGCCAGCGTCCCGTAACAGCCCGGACATCCACAGGCAGCAGATGACCGTGGCGGCCCCCTCCTTCGAAGGCCCTCTTGTCGCGGTCCCTGGTTCGGTGGTGCCGGTGTCGCCTTGCCTGGCGCCGCTGTCTCTCTGGCCCCTGCTCGTGCCGCCGCTCCGTCAGGCCTCACATGGGGTGCTGTAGGTGACAAGGGAACACAGGGCACCGAACCCCCTGCCGGTCGGCGCGTGGTGGTCGGCGACCTTGGCCTGGGTAGGGATGATGATGATGATGATGTTGGCAGTGATGTTGGTGGTGATGTTGGTGAAGATGACGGTGGAGAGATGTATGGCTTAAGGCGGGTGGGGTGTACAAACCATCGTCTCTTACCCAGTTGGACCTGGATGCACTCCGGTCGGAGTGCTTTAATGACCTCGACCGGCCCTTTCCAGGGTCGGTGCAGCTTTGGTGAGAGGCCAACCGGCACCTGAGGACAGTTTAGCCATGCCTGTTCCCCGACTTTAAAGGGCTTGGCTGTCACTGTGCTCTCCCGTATCCGTACATTACTCTCTTGGCTCGTGGCCAATGCGGCCTCGGCTGCTTGGCGGGCCTCTCTCAAATAAATTAGGGAGGTCTTTAGTGCCTTCGGCCATTCGTGAGCTCTTGCAGGAATGTCCGTCAGCTGCACCTCAATAGGCAGAACGGGATCCCATTTGAACATCAGGAAAAACGGCGAGAACCCCGTTGCCACGTGCAGGGCCACCCTGTACGCCGCTAAGACCGATGGAATGTGGAAGGTCCCAGTCGGAATGGTTTTTGTCCACCACTTGGGACAGCATGGCCGCTATGGTGCGGTTAAGCCGCTCTACCATCCCATCGGTCTGGGGATGATACGGAGATGTTCGGACCTTTTTAGTGCCCAGGATAGAGCAGACGTCCTTCAATAGCCGTGAGGAGAAATTCCTGCCCTGATCCGTGAGCAACCGCTCCGGTGCCCCCTTATCAAGGACATAGCCTCCCACGAAGGCATCTGCGATGGTCTGTGCCGTTTGGTCCGGGAGGGCCCACGCCATTGGCCACCTCGTGCAGTACTCGACTCCGACCAACAGGTATTTATTTCCCCGTGGCGTGACCGGCAGTGGTCCCAGGATGTCCAACGCAACCAATTCGTTGACCCTGTTCACCGTGATGGGCTGTAGGGGCGCCCGGGTTACCCGGGGTGGCGGCTTTCGCCGCGCACATTCGACGCAGGTAGCGACCCATCGATGCACGTCAGCGGTCATACCTGGCCAAAAGTAACGACCGTGTAATGTGGACAGTGTCTTCCGCCCCGCCAGGTGCAGCAGCTGGCGGCCGTGTACGTCCATAACCAATTGTTGACGCAGCGACTCCGGAACTACCAGGCATCGCCGGCGCCCTGTCGGGTCCCATCGCATGAGGAGGTCCTCCCATACGATGTACTCCTCCCCCCCTGCCTCTGCTGAGGCGCGTAGCGTTCACAGTGGGGCTTCCTCCAGCTGTAGCTGTCTCCAATCGTCCAAGGTCAGCCCCAGGTCGTGGTCGGTCAGCTGGACCTCACCCTGTGTGCCCTCCGCCGT